GAGGGTTACTGTCCACCACAGAAAAATTCTTCGGTGAAGAACAGAAGTAGTCGTTTCAAGCCGAAACAATCTCCTCGAATACAGACCATTTTCACAACTTCCAAAGTTGATTTCGCCAGCAAACGTAAGTACATTACACTACGTATTAACAGCAAATCCATTCGTCTTCAGTTGGATACGGCATCAGATATCACTTTAATTTCCCGAACTACGTGGCGCAAACTTGGGTGCCCACAGATTCTGCCGACTGAGCATGTCGCTAAGAATGCCTCTGGAGATATACTGAAACTCGTGGGTGAGATAGATTGCCAGGTTCAGTTTGGTGAGAATCAGTTCAATGGTGTATGTTACGTCACAAACTACCATGATTTGAATTTGCTTGGTCTTGACTGGTTAGACAAGCTTCATATCTTCAATGTACCATTAAATTCAGTGTGCTCTAATGTTTCGTCCTCACCAAATAATGTTGTTCCCGGACATGTATCTGATCAGTCTCTCTTACAACGCCTGCGTCAAAAGCATGCTTCGGTCTTCCAGGACAAACTTGGTTGCTGCAAATTTACCCAAGTTGCTTATGCAAAACCGAAGGGGGAGGGAACAACAGAAGCGATTTTGGATAAATTCTTGCTGCATGATCGTACGACACCAAATCCTTCCGCAGCCGGAAGGCCGGGACGCAGATCACATTCTATCCAGTACCACGCGAAGGTCAACTCGATAAAGAAGAGTTCCAAAACCTTTTCAAATAAATCCGAAATGCAAGTCCTACACTTTTAACGGGGGGAGGTGATAGGATCCCACACACTTTGTTATTGTTCAATTATCTTAATGACTGTTAATCTCGCATATGTGTTATATTATCATTTCCCAGGCACTTTGTTATTGTTCAATTATCTTAATGACTGTTAATCTCGCATAAGTGGTATATCATCATTCCCACGCATTTTGTTATTGACTATTACGACCAATTATTTCAAATACTGTTAGCTGTCTGTATTGGTTGTAAAATTGTATAAATACCATTTCCTAAATAAGTTATTTGTCGTTGTAGTCGTAGTTGTTGCACTACAATCCACAGTCACAGACCAGACTTTGTCTTTTGATATTTGCGTGGTTCGCTGAATCGGAAGGTACCAGAAGCAGATAGGCATATTAGTCAGGCGCAGACAGAACAAGGCGACAACGTTCCTCATTTAATTCCCCTACGGTTACAACAAATTGACGACGGGGTTTGACCTCAATTCATTGCAGTTACAACAAATTGGCGACGCGTTTACCTCAATTCATTGCAGTTATAACAAGCAAGCGACGACGAGTTTTATTCTGTTCAGCGCATCTATAGAACATTTTTGACTGTGTTAATTACAACCCAATTACAATGTCTATCTCTCTGGACGATCTCAAATCCATCTTGCAGCAGCAGCAACTTCAGAATGAAGCAGCTCAACTGAAATTAATCGAAGCTCTCACTCAGAAGCTGTCAATTGAAGTTCCATCAACATCTCATTCAGACAAATACGAAAGCACCTCAAATTCCATCAGTGAATTCAACTACGACCCAATATCTGGTCTCGTATTTGATGCATGGTTCAATCGTTATGAAGACGTTTTTCGTATTGAATGCTACATGTTTGATGATGCTGCCAAAGTCCGATTGTTACTAAGAAAACTTGGAACTGTTGAGCACAACAGATATGTTAACTTCATTCTGCCTAAGAACCCACGTGAATTATCATTCGATGAGACAGTCACCGTTTTATCACAAATCTTTGGTGAACAGTCATCCATGTTTAATATTCGGTATCAATGTTTTCAGTTGACAAAAATGCCTTCCGATGATTATGTCACTTACGCTGGCAAAGTGAACAAAGAATGAGAAAGGTTCAAACCACACGAAATGACATCAGATCAGTTCAAGTGTTTGATTTTTATTTGTGGTTTGAAGAACCCAGAAGATACTGACATAAGAACTCGACTTCTGTCACTCGTGGAACAAGACCCGAAAATGACTTTACAAATGATGACAGCAGAATGCCAACGCTTAATCAACTTGAAGCACGATACTGCTATGGTGGAGTGCCAACGACAGTCGTCTGAATTTGGTTCAATTAACACAGTGAAAAGTCCTCCGATCACCGTTAAGCACACAGCACGTCAGTCTCAGAATTCAGCTAAACCTCCTTCAGCGTGCTGGCACTGTGGTTCGTGGCATTTTGTCAAGTTCTGTCCTTTCAAGAAACATAAATGCCGTAACTGTCACCGTTTTGGACATAAAGAGGGTTACTGTCCACCACAGAAAAATTCTTCGGTGAAGAACAGAAGTAGTCGTTTCAAGCCGAAACAATCTCCTCGAATACAGACCATTTTCACAACTTCCAAAGTTGATTTCGCCAGCAAACGTAAGTACATTACACTACGTATTAACAGCAAATCCATTCGTCTTCAGTTGGATACGGCATCAGATATCACTTTAATTTCCCGAACTACGTGGCGCAAACTTGGGTGCCCACAGATTCTGCCGACTGAGCATGTCGCTAAGAATGCCTCTGGAGATATACTGAAACTCGTGGGTGAGATAGATTGCCAGGTTCAGTTTGGTGAGAATCAGTTCAATGGTGTATGTTACGTCACAAACTACCATGATTTGAATTTGCTTGGTCTTGACTGGTTAGACAAGCTTCATATCTTCAATGTACCATTAAATTCAGTGTGCTCTAATGTTTCGTCCTCACCAAATAATGTTGTTCCCGGACATGTATCTGATCAGTCTCTCTTACAACGCCTGCGTCAAAAGCATGCTTCGGTCTTCCAGGACAAACTTGGTTGCTGCAAATTTACCCAAGTTGCTTATGCAAAACCGAAGGGGGAGGGAACAACAGAAGCGATTTTGGATAAATTCTTGCTGCATGATCGTACGACACCAAATCCTTCCGCAGCCGGAAGGCCGGGACGCAGATCACATTCTATCCAGTACCACGCGAAGGTCAACTCGATAAAGAAGAGTTCCAAAACCTTTTCAAATAAATCCGAAATGCAAGTCCTACACTTTTAACGGGGGGAGGTGATAGGATCCCACACACTTTGTTATTGTTCAATTATCTTAATGACTGTTAATCTCGCATATGTGTTATATTATCATTTCCCAGGCACTTTGTTATTGTTCAATTATCTTAATGACTGTTAATCTCGCATAAGTGGTATATCATCATTCCCACGCATTTTGTTATTGACTATTACGACCAATTATTTCAAATACTGTTAGCTGTCTGTATTGGTTGTAAAATTGTATAAATACCATTTCCTAAATAAGTTATTTGTCGTTGTAGTCGTAGTTGTTGCACTACAATCCACAGTCACAGACCAGACTTTGTCTTTTGATATTTGCGTGGTTCGCTGAATCGGAAGGTACCAGAAGCAGATAGGCATATTAGTCAGGCGCAGACAGAACAAGGCGACAACGTTCCTCATTTAATTCCCCTACCGTTACAACAGTGCCACCGACAATTATACATCTCATCCAACAGCTGTACGACAATGCTGCATGACAAGTAATCCACAACGAGAAACTTACGGAATCATTCTAAGAAGTGAGGACAGGAGTAAGACAAGCTGGCTGCCTACTATCGCCAATGTTTTTCCTGATTGCAGTAGACTGGATAATGTAACAAACAGCGGGCAATGAGGGAACAGGCATAAAATGGACTCACACAAAAAGAGACTTGGAGGATCTGGACTTCGCCGATGATATATGTCTGATTTACCACAAACTGGAAGACATGCAAGCGAAAAGCAACAAGTTGGCAGGAGAAGCATCAAAGATAGGACTTAGAGAAAACAGCTGTGGTGATGAAGATTCCTGGACAAGAACAACAACAACAGACAACGATCAGCATAGTGGGAGGAACCTGAGAGAAACAACCTCTTTTACCTACCAACATGGGAAGCATCGTTTCAACTACAGGAGAACGGAACTGACGAGGATATCAAAGCAAGGATCATCGGAAAAGCAAGACAAGCTTTCACTACTCTCAAGTCTGTGTGGAGGTCAACAGCCAGCACTCAGCATCAAAAATAAGATCCGGATTTTCAACTTCCATAAGAAGTCAGTCAGATCAGAGACTTGGCCAGCGCGTCATAAAGAGCATCTCAAACAAACTACAGACCTTCATCAACAGCCAGTTGTCTTCGCTCAATACCACTCAAGATCAGATGGCCGACCGGCCCGAAAAGATCAGCAACAGGATGGAATTTCTGGCAATGAGCGAACCAACACAGCAGGAACCGATTTTGAAACAAATAGGCAGGAAGAAATGGAGATGGATTGGATTGTGGCCATACTCTGAGAAAACAAACCATCAAGTGAGTGACATCACTAGACAAGCCACTGCTCGAGTGGAACCCGACTGAAAGGGAAGCGGCGAGTTGGTCGTCAGTGCAAGCAAGGGTGGGTGACTTGGAGGACATCATGTGAAGAGGAGATGATGAAAACGTGTGGGCAGACATAGAGCCAGGTGAAGACTCTAGCAGAGAACCGAACGCAATGGAGACGTGCACGGCTGAAGCCCTATGTTCCTCTAGGAATTAAAGGAAACAATAATAATGATTATAATAGGCATTTATAATCTACCACTGCAGAAGATATACCCACCGTCTGAACACTTAGTCATTAATAATTATTTCATAATAACATTGTTTGGGTTTTGTTAGCTGTAACAACACAACATAACACGAAGGAATTATCTGTCATACATTAATGTGTGACTTGTAACTTGCTGCTCAGATTTATTTCTTTAATAAAAAAGGATTTACTTACACATGTATGTATAAGGCGGTTGTGTAGGCACAAAACGGGTATATGCTTATGAATTAACGGAGAAGGCCAAATGCATACACACACAGAAAGTGGAAATGCACAGCTCTATTTTTTCTTGTTCTCTTTATAATATAACATCATATATATATATATATATAAAAAATATGAAACAAACAGTGAATAGAAAAACAAAGAGGTTAACATAATGGTGAGAGAGAGAGAGATAGTTAACGATGCTGTTCAAGCTCCATATTGCCCAAATCTATTTCGTCATCATTGTATATATTTTCGGCCTGAAAGAAAAAGAAATAAATAAAAAAAGCCAACACAAACGAAAATGTTAAATTTTTTAAAAATATTCCCATTTTTTAATATTAGAACAAGACATATATATATGTATTTGTTGAACTTTTTGATTTGACTTTTTGAAAGTTGCTGACTTTGCATTGCTGGAGGATTGTGTGTTATAATAATAATCATAATCTACATTGGTAACTATTCGTTTTAGCTTCTGTTTTATAAGTGCTCAATTTCAGATCTGATATGTTGCAACTATTTTTAACGATTCTGTGAAACTTAATAATTATCCGGATAAATTAGTCAGCGAATATGTAAGGAAATGTAAAAATAAAATAAATAATGATAGTAGCGATAGTGATAATAACAATAATGATGATAATAATAATAATAATAGTGATAATAATAATAGTAATAATATTAATGACGACACCAACAATAAGGAATCTAAATCATCAGTAGTAATTCCATACAAGGAAGGAACCTCGGAAACCACCTTATGCAGAATTCTTAACTAGGCAGACACGAGTGAAAGTGGCTGGCATTCAAACCAACCACAAACTCAATTAGAAACAAGCTTTGTCGGTTAAAGGATCCTGTAGAGCCTTTAAAACAAAACAATTTAGTTTATCTAATACCCCGTTCGCGATGATTGTCAGATCAAATACATAGGTCAAACTAGTAGAACATGGCGGGCAGTCAGACTAGCCGAACATAAAAACTTAGCGAAATCTACATTGGTTGATCCAAATAAGATCAGAAATCTAGAGAATAGTTCAACTATAGCACTACATGCAGTCACACACAACCATACAATAGGCTGGATGGGATAGGATGACAGTTTTAAAATCTAATGTCACAGGGTATAGGGAGAGACTGATAACAGAAACTTTGTTTATCGAATCAACTGCAAATACATGTAATAGGAATGATTCACCACCTGTCCCAGATATCTGGAAAATTCTTCTACCCCAATGACGACAAAGAGGAGAGAACAAAGAAAACTATAAAACTCAAGTGTCAAAGTCGTGTGATTACAAGTGATATGATTATGAACAGCAATAAATTTTGTTCGAAACGTCATCCAGTAAATAATACTGTTTCACTGTGTGATATATCTAATAAACAAATTAATATGGAAGACATAGAATAGGTCTTCTTCAGGCTTTACTCTAATTTACATAGATTTATATATATAATTTTAACCAATGACGGTGATTTTGGGAATCAAATAATAATAATAATAATAATAATAATAATAATAATAATAATATTTAATTGGTGGATGGTGACTAGCAGTGGAATCCAGGATGCGCATTTCGTCGTGGCCCAAGTGGTCTAGTGGATAACGCTTTGGCGTTTGAAACCATGATCACTGGGTTCGAGCCTCGGTGGGAACATCATCACTCACTGAGAAATGCAGGTACATCCAGATGACGAGTCCCATCCACCAATTAAATACTAATTAAATGCCCAGACATCGTTGAAGCATCTGCTCAAGAAGCCGACATGTCAACCTGAGACCGAGCACTTCGGTCCAATCAATCGACGGGAAAATCCAAAATTCAATTAAATAATAATAATAATAGTAATGTGGTAAATGTTTTGAACGTATGTAATAACGATGACTATAATGATAACAAAATAATAGTGATAATAAGGTTTATGCACGTGGCGATAAGAACAACAAAGGTAGTAATACGCGTGTATATGTAGACAATTCAATAAATAAATTAGGTCAAATCTTAAGAGTTACGTAATACTAAAGGTGAAGTGGACAGATAATAAGAGTTTAAATAAATATTATAAAAATACGAAGGAGATGGAATATAAGAAGGGGTGGGAGGGTTTTGAATAGAATTCACCTAGGCCAAGGAAGAGACAAAGGTAGAACAAACTTCTTTGGTTGTATGCAAAGATACTAGTATTGTTCTCTCGAATTCCCATTGCTTCGGGTATATGTAAAAGACGGATTCGAATTCCGTTCGAAAGTCTCGATGGGATGCGATAGATAACTTTGAAGGCGGTACTATTTTTGTCCACTTGGTGGTCACCTGCATAAACCTTATTATCAATATTTTGTTATCATTATAATAATTGTTATTAACGACGTTCAAAACATTTACCACATTATTATTATTATTTGATCCACAAAATAACCATCATTGGTTAAATTTTGTTCGATACATAAATCTATGTAAATTAGAGTAAAGCCTGAAGAAGATCTAATTGAAAATGTGAAATTCTCAGGTATCGGTTTTTGTAGGGATTTTAGTTTGATTGGTTGGAGGATTTCATCATGAGCTGACACCACATAGAGAGCCATTGGAAAACTCGCAGGGGGTACTGGACAGCCAGCTGTTTCTTAAGCCTAGTTTGGGACACCTCAGTAGTACGCACCCACCGGGCTTCAAACCCACGCAGGACCTTCTGGTCTACGAGCTCTCTGGCCTTGTAACCAGAAGGTCGTAGTTTCGAACGCTGGCGGTGAGTGCATACTGCTGAAGAGTCCCAAACTAGGCTGAAGAAACAGCTGGCTGTTCAGTACTCCCTGCAGGCTTTCCAATGGCTCTCTAACTGATGTCAGCTCATGATGAAATCCTTCAGAGAAAATGTCAAACATTTCTAAGTTTTGTGATGCAAGGTGAAAAGTGAAGGAGAGTCGACGACAATCTACTTAGTCAGATGAATGATCTAGTCGCAATGTCACGCGTGACGGTGTAGACCAATTTCAAATAAGTTATTTCATATTACTGCTGCCTTGGTTACATCAAGAAAATAACTAGCTTACGTAGACTGTTAACCTCATCTAGGTAACTGGCTTGCTAGTCAGACTAGCGGAGCACAAAACTATAGCAAAATCCAGACTAGCGAACCTTAATAAGATAAGCAATCTAGAGAAGAGTTCAGCTGTATCACTGACTACATGCAATTACACACAACCATACAATGTAGGATGAATGGGATAGGATGACAGTTTTAAAATTTAATGTAACAGGCTGGAGTGAGAGACAGAGAGGGAGATTAATAAGTGACTAAGGCTTTATTTATCGAATCAACTGAGAGGGAACACATGCGATAGGAATGACTGAACATCTTTTCATCCAGACACCTGGAGAATTCTATTCTACCCCAACGGCGACTAATAAAGAAAAGTATAAGATGAAAGTTTCGCCGTTGTGTGGTTATAATTCACATGATTATGAACCATAAATAAATAAATTGTGTTGGAAACTGTGTCATCCAGTAATTATGCATACCGTTTCACTCTGTGTGTGTCATATATCTAGTAAACAAATTAATACGGAATCACATATTACCACAGTGCCCAAGTTTTACACTATTATTATTATTATTATTATTTCCTTTAATTCCTAGAGGAACATAGGGCTTCAGCCGCTCACGTCTCCATTGCGTTCGGTTCTCTGCTAGAGTCTTCACCTGGCTCCAAGTCTGCCCCACACGTTTTCATCTCCTCTTCACATGATGTCCTCCAAGTCACCCACCCTCGCACTGACGACCAACTCGCTGCTTGCCTTTCGGGTTCCACTCGAGCAGTGGCTTGTCTAGTGATGTCACTCACTTGATGGTTTGTTTCCTCAGAGTATGGCCACAATCCAATCCATCTCCATTTCTTTCTGCCTATTTGTTTCAAAATCGGTTCCTGCTGTGTTGGTTCGCTCATTGCCAGAGATCCCACCCTGTTGCTGATCTTTTCTGGCCAGCCGGCCATCTGATCTTGAGTGGTATTGAGCGAAGACAACTGGCTGTTGATGAAGGTCTGTAGTTTGTTTGAGATGCTCTTTATGACGCGCTGGCCAAGTCTCTGATCCATATAGAGCACTGACTGACTTCTTATTGGAGTTGAAAATCCGGATCTTATTTTTGATGCTGAGTGCTGGCTGTTGACCTCCACACAGACTTGAGAGTAGTGAAAGCTTGTCTTGCTTTTCCGATGATCCTTGCTTTGATATCCTCGTCAGTTCCGTCCGCCTGTAGTTGAAACGATGCTTCCCAGGTTGGTAGGTAAAAGAGGTTGTTTCTCTCAGGTTCCTCCCATCTATGCTGATCGTTGTCTGTTGTTGTTGTTCTTGTCCAGGAATCTTCATCACCACAGCTGTTTTCTCTATGTTCACCTCAAGTCCTATCTTTGATGCTTCTCCTGCCAACTTGTTGCTTTTCGCTTGCATGTCTTCCAGTTTGTGGGAAATCAGACATATATCATCGGCGAAGTCCAGATCCTCCAAGTCTCTTTTTGTGTGAGTCCATTTTATGCCTGTTTCCTCATTGCCCGCTGTTTGTCACATTATCCAATCTACTGCAATCAGGAAAATCATTGGCGATAGTAGGCAGCCAGCCAGCTTGTCTTACTCCCGTCTTCACTTCTTCGAAGGATTCCGTGAGTTTCCCGTTGTGGATTACTTGGCATGCAGCATTGTCGTACAACTAACTGTTGGATGAGATGTATAATTGTCGGTGGCACCCCTTGGTAGTAGCGAAGTAGTTTCCAAATCACCTCTCGATCGACGCTGCGCTGTCGAAGGCCTTTTCAAAGTCGATGAAGTTGAGCGAGATAGAGAGGTGACTGCCATTCCAAGCTTTGTTCAATGAATAAACAATAGATAATACGGAATCACATACTATCACAGTGCCCAAGTTTTACACATGTATTAGGGAATAAGTTCCACTGCCAGCTGAGTGAGTTTCTACTAAAACAGACGCGTCAAGCATATATTGAAGTATACCCTGGTGACTTGAATGCACAGGTAATATTAATGGATTAGAGGAGAGTAGTGTTCACGTGGTCATTGTGGAATTACAAGGTTCCAAGTCAGAAATGTGAATTGTCTGTCCTCTGTAGTTTTTCGAACATTACAAACTACTTCATAGTCAGCACCAAATTCCGACATAGCCACCGCCGCAGTGCTACCACCACCTAGCGCCCCCACCCTGCTTTGCTACTTGAGCCTAAACATAAATACAGCACATTGCAATC